GTGTGTGTGTGTGTGTGTGTGTGTGTGTGTGTGTGTGGTGTGCAAGTGTGTGTGCAAGTGTGTGTGCAAGTGTGTGTGTGTGTGTGTGTGTGTGTGTGTGTGTGTGTGTGTGTGTGTGTGTGTAAGTGTGTGTGTGCAAGTGTGTGTGTGCAAGTGTGTGTGGTGTAAGGGTGTGTGTGTGTGTGTGTGTGTGTGTGTGTGTTGTGTGTGTGTGTGTGTGTGTGTGTGTGTGTGTTGTGTGTGTGTGTGTGGTGTAAGGGTGTGTGTGTGTGTGTGTGGTGTGGTGTGTGTGTGTGTGGTGTATGTGTGTGTGTGTGTGTGTGTGTGTGTGTGTGTGTGTGTGTGTGTGTGTGTGTGTGTGTGTGTGTGTGTGTGTGTGTGTGTGTGTGTGTGTGTGGTGTGGGTGTGTGTGTGTGGTGTGTGTGTGTGTGTGTGTGTGTGTGTGTGTGTGTGTGTGTGTGTGGTGTGTGTGTGTGTGTGTGTGTGTGTGGTGTAAGAGTGTGTGTGTGTGTGTGTGTGTGGTGTGTAAGGGTGTGTGTGTGTTTGTGTGTGTGGTGTAAGGGTGTGTGTGTGTTTGTGTGTGTGGTGTAAGGGTGTGTGTGTGTGTGTGTGTGTGTGTGTGTGTGTGTGTGTGTGTGTGTGTGTGTGTGTGTGTGTGTGTGTGTGTGTGTGTGTGTGTGTAAGGTGTGTGGTGTGGTGTGTGGTGTAAGGGTGTGTGTGTGTGTGTGTGTGTGTGTGTGTGTGGTGTAAGGGTGTGTGTGTGTGTGTGTGTGTGTGTGTGTGTGGGTGTGTGTGTGTGTGTGTGTGTAAGTGTGTGTGTGTGTGGTGTTGTGTGTGGTGTAAGGGTGTGTGTGTGTGTGTGGTGTAAGGGTGTGTGGTGTGTGTGTGTGGTGTGTGTGTGTGTGTGTGTGTGTGTATGTGTGTGTGTGTGTGTGTGTGTGTGGTGTAAGAGTGTGTGTGTGTATGTAGTGTGAGTGTGGTGTGTGTGGTGTAAGAGTGTGTGTGTGTGTGGTGTAAGGGGTGTGTGTGTGTGTGTGTGTGGTGTAAGGGTGTGTGTGTGTGTGTGGTGTGTGGTGTAAGGGTGTGTGTGTGTGTATGTGTGTGTGTTGTGTAAGGGTGTGTGTGTATGTGTGGTGTAAGGGTGTGCGCGCGTCGATGGGTGTATCTGCGTGAATGGGTGTATGTGTGTGTGATTTATGTGGAGCATGTGACTGTCACGTGTGCGTCTGTGTGTGTGGTGCTGTGTGGTGCGCGTGCGTCTGTGTGTGGTGCGTGTGCGGTTGTGCGTGTGGTGCGTGTGCGTGTGCGTCTGTGTGTGGTGATTGTGCGTCTGTGTGTGTGGTGATTGTGCGTCTGTGTGTGTGGTGATTGTGCCTCTGTGTGTGTGGTGATTGTGCCTCTGTGTGTGTGGTGATTGTGCTCTGTGTGTGTGGTGATTGTGCCTCTGTGTGTGTGGTGATTGTGCTCTCTGTGTGTGTGGTGATTGTGCGTCTCTGTGTGTGTGGTGATTGTGCGTCTCTGTGTGTGTGGTGATTGTGCGTCTCTGTGTGTGTGGTGATTGTGCGTCTCTGTGTGTGTGGTGCATGTGTCTCTGTGTGTGTGGTGCGTGTGTCTCTGTGTGTGTGCGTGTGTGTGTGTGGTGCGTGTGTCTCTGTGTGTGGTGCGTGTGTCTCTGTGTGTGGTGCGTGTGTCTCTGTGTGTGTGTGGTGTGTTGTGTGTGGTGCGTGTGTCTGTGTGTGTCGTGTGTGTGTGGTGCGTGTGTGTGTGTGTGTGCGTGTGTGTGTGCGTGTGTTCTGTGTGTGTTGTGCTGTGTGTGTCTCTGTGTGTTGGTGCGTGTGTCTCTGTGTGTGGTGCGTGTGTCTCTGTGTGTGGTGCGTGTGTCTCTGTGTGTGGTGCGTGTGTCTCTGTGTGTGTGGTGCGTGTGTCTCTGTGTGTGTGGGTGCGTGTGTGTCTGTGTGTGTGGTGCGTGTGTCTCTGTGTGTGTGGTGCGTGTGTCTCTGTGTGTGTGCGTGCGTGTGTCTCTCTGTTGTGGTGCGTGTGTCTCTGTGTGTGGTGCTGTGTCTCTGTGTGTGGTGCGTGTGTCTTGTGTGTGGTGCGTGTGTCTCTGTGTGTGGTGCGTGTGTCTCTGTGTGTGGTGCGTGTGTTCTCTGTGTGTGGTGCGTGTGTCTCTTGTGTGTGCGTGTGTCTCTGTGTGTGGTGCGTGTGTCTCTGTGTGTGGTGGTGCGTGTGTCTCTGTGTGTGGTGCGTGTGTGTGGTGCGTGTGTAGTGTGAGTCTGTGGTGCATGTGTGTGTATGAAACATGTGTATTTAGTGCATGTGTGAGTGGTGTGTGTGTGTGTGTGCATGTAGGTGTGTGTGTGTGTGTAGGTGTGTGTGTGCATGTAGGTATGTGTAGATGTGTGTATAGATGTGTGTGTAGATGTGTGTGCATGTAGGTGTGTGTGTGCATGTAGGTGTGTGTGTGCATGTAGGTGTGTGTGTGCATGTAGGTGTGCGTGCG